AGGATGGGTAAGCTGCACTATATTACATTTTTGTTTTTGGGTTTACATAAACTTTAAAAAAGAAAATAAATTGCGCAATATCATGTTCTCTTGAATCACAAGGTAAACATTACACATTACCTGAAATCTTACCTAATGAATTGTGTGAAGAGGAGGAAGTGCCTAAGACGCTGTGCTCAGATTTCAGCGTCTGTGCCTGCTGCTGGCGTGGTGCCATGCTGGAGGACAGATAAGATTGTGACAGTGACTGGGAGAGAGAACTTAAAGGTGACGTTGAGAGAGAAGAGGATGAATGCAGAGAGGAGGAACGGGCAAGAGAACCTGGAATATTTACTGGAGCTGAACTTCCCAACAACCTCTGACCTACAGGAGGAAAGGGAAAAATAAAGTATTAGCATTCCAAAGGTTACCACTCCCCATTTACAGACACTGAGTAGAAAAAGCTTTGGCTATTTCGTCACCGCTTTTAGTCAAATTAAATCCTGCCCTGTAAAATTTAGCTGGAATCTCAAAGATTGGTCGCTGTAAGATCCTAGTGCAGACACACTGATACTTTGATCCTGCATAAGTTTTAAATAGGGATAGGCTTGGTGTGAACCCAGTTCACCTAAGTTCACTCAAAATTCTGACCACCACCCCTTCTCCTGACTCAATTAGTGTCAGATATCGCAGCAGGGGCATTCCTCGTTCCTTCATGATGTATAGCTGTGGGGCAAGGATGGGCCTCCCTCCAACTGTTTGGGTCAAGAGAAAGAGGTGGCGGGCAGAGTTTTGAGCAGGCTTGGGAGAACTCATGTAAACTGGAATTGCACCAAAACTAGCCTCATCACTAGTTTTAAAGTAACCATCAAGGTTCCAGGGGAATGCTAACTGTACCCAAAATAAAAAGTGCATAATACAGTAGGCTTCTAAAATGGTCTCTGAAAGAATATTTGTCAGTATTGCCCAAAACAACCAATCAAATTCCGTGGAACTTAGAAAAAGAAAGAAGATAACCAGGTTGGGATTGGAAATGATGCAGACAATTATGATAAGTGCACTCCACCAACATCCATTTAAAATGTCAGGCCACCCAACATTGATATACCAGGTATAGATGGAGTCTGGTAGGCCAAGAAACCCACCAGCTTTGCATTTATCTTCGGGACTCTAATTACAGGGTCCATTCCCTATATCTCAGTGCTCAGTGTTTCTATACTATGTTAAAATCCAAGAATCCAGTGCACTCCATATAGCATTCAGGCCCAATCATAAAGGGTGCTATGCTGAAATGTCGGAAGGCACCACCACAACATAAGTCCCAATCCAAGAAATCACCAGCACGCCATGTTTAGATAAAAAGAAAGGACAATTAATTGTCACCAACAGGAAACTACATTTTAAAGCCACTAAGGACCCCTTCCTAGATTTTCAAAACGTTGCTTTCTGTTGGTGACAATAAAGTGTCCTGTCTTTTCATCTAAACATAGTGTGCTGGTGATATCTTGGATTTTTTCTACTTCTCCCGTCACATTCTCAATTGCAAAACACAAATCTAATATCCAGCATTGAGCGTGCTCCCCCCAATGCTGCAGTACATGTTCAAACCTGGAAACTCAAGGTCTAACCACAAATGTCCACAAGAGAAGCCAATTGGAATAAAAATAAAAAGGTCCATCGACTGTATTATAAAACAAAAAAACAAAACAGCGCTGGTTGTAATACTCACCTACTCCTCAGGGCTGATCCTCTCAGTAATTCATTTTTGCCACTAGATGTCCTCAGCCTTCCAAGTTAAATGATGCTCAGTGTCATTTAACACAAAAGAATGAGGACATATTGTAAGTGTAGAAGATCGGGGACCCACTAGCAGTATAAAGATGCAAAGAAAATCAGTGCTGTTCTCGTAATTAAAGATGACCCAGTTCCAGAGAGGAGGCAAAGAGGAAAAGGACCCCACATGCCTAGCCTGAAGACACCTGGAAAAGCTAACTGGGGGGTGAAGCTTAGAATACACACTGAGGTAGGGTGGGAGCATGGCCCTTGGCTTTAAATCTGCTAAATTCTGTTCAGTTTTAACAGGCTGACCCTTTAAATGCCCACCTCTCTCCCTTTATTAGACCAACATACAATAGAATGGCATAAATTTGAAATAACAAACTGTTTACATAGTATCTCATACCCATCTGGTCACATTACATTTGAACAGGCTAGGGAGATAACGTACCAAGTACGAACATTTTGTTAAACACTAAAAAAAAAAAAAAACACCATGTCTAAACTTTCCTAGGGTAACTTAGCAAATATTGTATACCTTCCACTGGACAGGCAAGATATTTAAAAAACCTATATAGTCATAATAAAACTAAAGAGCCAAAAAATAATTTTTACTAAAATTGTAATTTTACTGCCAAGTCATAAATGATTCAAGTTATTAAATCCTACCTTTTTTAAACTTTATTTAATTCTTTATTAATAACACATGGCAAACAGTATAAATCTCAAAATACAGTACAGCGATATCCAAGTCAGATGTATCAAAACTATAGCTTCGGCAACATAGAGTAACGGTAGTCAAAAACAAAAAAAAACATCTATGACGCATACTAATAATCAGGTGATCGCATGCATCCAGTCCAGGACAGATAATTTAAGTATAGGAATGCAGCTTAGAGAGCGAACAATCACTTGGGTGCATAGCAATGGTAATGATTACAAACATCTAAGTAATGAAGCAATGCGGAGAGACAATATAGCCTCTCGTAAACAGGTAAGCAAAGCTGTTAAAGTGATAACAGAAAGAATAAGAAAGGGGTATAGATACTAGTATTTAAAACTCAAGCAGGAACTGTGTATGTAAAACTCAAGAGGAGTGCGAAAAGAGGGGGGGAAAGCATGAGGGAAAGGAGGGGAGCGAGGGCACCCAGCCCAGGAGCCGCATAGACGACCTTCAGCATTACTGACAGTCTCCCACCCATCTTGTAGGGCAGAAACTGCCGTAGCTTATCATGTTAGGCGAGCATTAGAAAAAAATATCCAATGCACATTTAAAATAAATATATTCCAGGATTTTTATATAAAATTATTATTTCAGGATTTTCCATATTTGACAAGATAAAGCTAAGGGAAGGATATACTGTATATATAATCCTCCCTTCTATACACTGGGCAAAAGGCGGTCACACGGCATTCTCACTACTGCTCCTCGGCTCCATCTAGTGGCATGAATGCAGTTCAAAAGCATTTGCCCAACATATAGCTGAATAAAATGATTTATAGATGTATCCCCTAATTTTAGTCATGAGGGAAGCAGGTGGGTTTCTGAACACTAGTTAGGTGTGTTTTAGTGTTTCCTATAGTTTTTCACTCTTAGGTTCATAGAGCTGAAGCCTCACTTGCTTATACATGAGGGCAATGCAAAAGTAATTGTTTTGTTTGTGTTGAGCTCTGGGCTTGTTTTTCAGAGTCTATGGAAATAACTGTCTCAGTCTGTATTAATAAGACAAATACTCCAACCATTTTACCTGTGCAGCATGGGAGTACAAAAGAAAAAATCTAATTGGTTCCCAAGGACAATGAAGATGTTCTGAGACAATAACTCCCTTAGATGGTTTGATTAATCAGGTTCTGTTTGCTTAAAACATTTTTGGGAATAAACGTCTTTGGAAAAAGGTATAACAATTGTAATCTAATGTTATTGAATTTCACGGGCTCCATTCACAAAGCTAACACACTAGAATAGGGGTCATTTTTGAAAAACAAACTGAGTTATTTTCAGCTTGGTCCAATGAGATTAGAAAACTACAGTCACATGGCTGAAAACAGAACGCCTTAGGCTTGTGATAAAGCTTTGTGAATTGAACCCAATATCTGCACTGAGTTTGGACAACCTCCCCGGGTTTCCTATAACCATCTAAATAAGGGATCCTTCAAAGTGATCAATATCAACCCCCAAGAGGTGATAAAATGGCCGGGGGTCAATAGGGGCTTGATAAACAATGGAAGGTTAATCAGGATCAGTTCATCTTTTGAGATGTATCTAGAGTTCCACATCAGTTCCTAGTACAAATATCAAGAGTTTCAGTGTGAAAAAAAAGGTATATCTTATTTTTTTTCATATTTTAAAGAGAAGATCATGAATTTATTAAGTCATTATTACTTTTTTTGCAGGACTATTTAAAGTAGTACTTACTAATATTTTTTATTAATGTCTGGGGGTTGATAAACAAACCTCATGAAAAGGTAGATGAGCTGATCTTTATTACGTTTGTGTGCTCCCAAGGTGTCCAATTACTCTCTGCATGGGTTTCCTGTGCTTCCTGGGCTTCTCTTTACTATCTGCATGGAGTAAGCAGACTCTGCCTGTGTTTCACATTACTTTTTGCAAGGAGTTGCATTTGTTTGGGTTTCCTTTGGGTGCTCCCATTTCCTCCCATAAAAGTGTGAGTGTTCTTGTATGACTGTGCTGGAGACATTAATCTGAAAGCTTATTCAGGGATGGACACTGATAAGAATGGCTCAGTATTCTTTTTATTCTTGTGCTATGAATATATAAGGCAGTGCTGTATTCATCAATAAATAGGTGGATGCACATTTACACATCAACAAACTCAAACCACTCTCACAGACAAATGTTCAAAAAACTAAACTGAAATATGCATAAAGTAAATGCTTACTTGATAATCCCAGGTCACTGTTCTCTGTGTCATCTAATTCTTTGTCTAAGGATGCAACATTTATATTGCTAAAATAAGGATCTAGGGCAGAACCTGTAAAACAAACAGCATATTACCTGACATATAAATATGATCACTTAACAGCTATACACTGTATATAAAAAGTAATAAATCAGTCCATCTGATTTGTTTTAAACGCAAAAAGCGTATAGTGATGTACAAACAACCTGAACCCAATGAGATCTGCAGAGCTTAAGTACCACCTGCCTCTAAGGAGCTTACAATGCTCCTACCAGTCACGCAGTCATACACTCAACTCATTACAGGCAGCTCTGATCGAAGCCAATTTAACGAGTACCCAGAGGAAATTCCTGCAAAAATACTAACTCCATGAAGACAGCATCTCACGTGGAAAATTAACCAAGGACCCCAGTGTTGCAAGGCATCAGTGCTAATAATAGACATTGAAAGAATCATTGTAATGGAATACAGGGATTGCTCTTTGACTGACAAGCATAAAACAGTGCTAACTAGGCTAAAGCTAGCCATATAAATTTCTTGAATTCCTGCTGAATCTGCCGAAATACGAGGGGCAGGTGGCCCTGTTGGCAAATCGGCAGAAGAAAAGCGATTGCATTCAATCAGATGCAGCTTATGCTTTGGATTTCAGCAGCCGGCAGGGGAGATTCCTTCCATCCACACTCTTTAGAGTGGATAGGGTAAAGAGAAAAAAAGGAGAAAAAACTTAAGTCCAGGCAAAACTTTTATTAATCTCTGCAGAGGGTCTACCCTCACACTGCAAGGTTTAAGTGCTCATTTTTGACTGGGTGATAAAAAAAAAAGTTATACTCACTGAACCGGTCCTTCCTGCCACGCTCCCCCTCCTCTGAGGTGGGTCTAAGGATCCTTGAGTCATCACATTCAATCCACTGTGTATAGGACGCAGGAGGAGACAGGCTGGAGGAGCACTGTGACAGCCGGCTCCAATGTTCAGCTGAGTATAACTTTCTCATTTTAGCACCTAAATACAAATAAGCAGTTAGTTAGCCCTTGCAGTGCGGGTGTTACCCCCACTGCAAGGTTTAAAAAAAGTTTTGCACAGAATTTTTCTTTTAGATAAAAACCTAAAGAGTGTATGGCTAGCTTAATGAAACACCTTTTCCAACCCTTGCACAATAAAACAATGGCCAAGCAAAGTAAAGCACTAAAATATATAGACAATATCAGCACAAAAAAAAAATAATAATCTGTTAAATGTCCAACATAAAAGGTGTGCATTCATCAGAGGGATTCACTGACTCATGCAAGGAGACAGGGATTATCAAATGCTGACTCACATGAGAGTCAGAGCGAGGCTCTAACATGGGAAGACCAGCAGCCCCACAATTCAGATACAAATGCATGGAAAAAAGGCTGTTTAAGTTGAATTTTTACATTTTTCTAATATTTTAGTCAGGTTTGAAGCTGCACTCATTTAATCCTTTCCCACAAAGCATTGATAACTAGTCCTTCTACAGCTCTCGCCAGAGCCAACAATGTCCCTGTGTAAAATATATCATTTTTTTTTCTACTAACCATACAAAAACACAATGCAGCTAAGCAAAATGCAACCACTGATAAACAAAAAAAAATAGATTTTCTATAACTAAACTATAACTAGAAGGTGCTTTATTTCTACAGACCCAATAGTCACATATGGTGCCATAAAAGGCTGTCGGCTATTTAAAGACATCTACATCTATTATGTAACATATTGAAGAGACAAGAGTAAAATGTTGTTGGCAAAAGAAAAAAGTACATATCAGACGTGTGTATGTGGGTGCATAGAATCTCAATCACGCACATACACGCAATCTACACATACAAAAATGCTAATAATTCTGCATGAAAAAAAAACCTATAAAATCAAGGAAAACTAACAGGGATTAACTTTGGCGTGGTGTGTGTACATGCTCCTGTGCCTCTGCCTTGAATGGCTCATTCATAAACCTCACCGATACAACTTGCAGTGTTATGTAAAGCTGTAAGCCCTTCGACAGAGCAGCGTCATTTTGTTACCTTTAAACCTGCTTGATGCCGTCTCATCCTTTACTACAGTACAGTTTACCCAGCTAAGAGCAGTGACTGGATATCAAAAGTTGGCTGCGGTCCCAAACATCAAAGTGTGCCAGATAACTAAATGTATGAAAGTGTCAGTAAATGAGCAATGAATGACTGCGTATGAATGCACTGAATATCTAAAGGAAGCCCGAGAAATGCAGACATAGTTGTGCTTACCAGCTGTGTAAGTGCTGACTCACTGCCTGCAGTCCCCTGCTCTGCTCACACACTGTACTGAGGTAGCTAATCAAAGCAGCTCCCTGATCATGTGACCGCAGTCACATCAGGAGGATGTCATATGCTTCCAGGAATAAAGGAGGACTCGCAATATCACAGAGATCTGTGTGCATCACAGGTGAGATTCTAGTGCACCTTGCTCTGCAGAACGCCTGCAAGTGTCAGTGTTGCCTAATGCACAAGCTGAGGAAAGGTCAGTGAGGCAGATCTATGACAATTGCTGCAAAACTATAAATGTTGCCCGTTACAATCACATGCTCCATTCTATTTAAAAGATAAATCATAATTGGTTAGTGTAGGAAAGGTCTTTCGTTTTGATCTAGTTTCCCTTAGTCCGTATTTAGTTATAGTTTCCCGTATAGATTGCAAGCCCTCACGTGCAGGGCCGTCCTTACCATCTTGTCTGGAATTGTATTGTGATTGTAATGTCTTCCTTATATTGTAAAGCGCTGCGCAAACTGTTGGCACTATATACAGTAAAGCCTTTATAATAATAATAATAATAAAGAGTGCCACTAATACCCGGAGTTAAATCTTAAAAATGCATTCAAATACCCTAACTGTTAACAAAAATGTATCTTATTTGTGTATCACTGGGCTGTAGATCCTCAAATCATCTCTGAATTGGTGCTGACACTGTCCTACCATCTGGAGGGTGGCTACATTTGTTCCCCATGGTCCCTGTGTGTGTTGTAAAGTAGTCACCGCTTCAAGCTCGCTCCCGTGATGGGAGATGGCATAGACACATATGGAATTTAGATGGGAGACATTGACTCATATATTTATTGATACACACAGAAGTATCAATAGTTTGGGACAATTGTAGCATATTTTAGATCTGTTTTGCATACTCACTGATCTGGGAAGGCTCAGGGAGCTGTTTTCAATTTGTCATTTTATATCCATTTTTGTTTTGTTGGGATAGATGTGCCCCCTCGCCCCCAGGCCTCCTGGCTGAGTGGAGGGGCTCCCCTAGGTGCCAATCTGCTCGTCATCAGAAATCTCTGATATATGGTATAGACGTATTTCTTTATTTATTGACCTATGTATGTTTTTATAGAGCTAGTGTGTTATTTTGAGTTAATTGGATGTTTACTCTAATATTCATATGGATTTCACAGGCCACCTCTATAAACTTCTTGATAAAGCTACGGCGAAACGCGTCGAAGAATGGACAAGTACAGATTTTTCAGAGGAAATATGGAGCATTATGAAATATGTGACAATATATTTGACTGATCAATTAACTACGGACATTGTTATAATGTACTCAACGCTAAGAATATTAATTATTGCCATTGTGCACAATACAAATCTGTACGGGATCCTAGAGGTGTTATGCTGATTATATATGTAATGTGGTTTTGTCATAAATTATTGTGTTATGTTTTATGAATTCAATGTTTGCTAGCCAGGATATTAATTTATTAGATATGTATTTATTATGAAATGAGTTACGTGTCATCATGTCTAGCTGCATCTCTTTGCATTGTCTAGGAGTCACCTAAAAAGCCCTATTCTCTTCGGTTGTTATTTTCATAACTCATGAGTATAGAGGGGGCACATTTTGGCCTTATTGCCTTGGGTGCCAAATGACCTTGCCCTGACACTGCTTTAATGTGATCAATAAGAAAAAGGAAATCTTCAAGAACTGAGACCAACAGAGGAATCTGAGACCGATTTTCTGGTAAGGGGAGACCAGGGAAGCCACGATTTTCTGGTGAGAGATACCCCGGGGGATGCCTAGATTACTGAAGATTAAGCCTCAACTCAACTAAAAGGTCCAAGAGAGAGAGTGGGTGCATGTCTAAAAGGACTGCCAAGCAGACACCCACCACACCAGGCCGAGAGGGTAGATCTCGTTACCAAACCTGCACAGATAGAGCTGAGGACCAAGCCCTGCGGGAGAACCTGCCTGAAAATAATCTGCCTATCCTGGAAACTGACAGAGTCACAGGCCTAGAAATGCACTTGACTACCCAACTCCAAGAGACTTAGCATAACATTGAAGAATAGTTGCCTGGGTATATGCAAAACAAGGAAGTTTGCTGGAAAGGCCTACTTCTCGAGTCTGTGAACCACCAAGGTGGGATGGTCTAGACCCAGGTGAATGGATTCCATTGAGTTAGTAAAGAATTCCCTGCTATCAAGAGGATTCCTGCATCAGGAAACTAGCTTGCAGATTATCCAATGTATCATGTGGCCCTCCTCTGACATCCTTCACCAGCAAAACAGGAACTGGAATGCACTTGGTGAATTGACCCCCTCCCCATGTCTTGAAATAACCATTTGGAATAAACTGGCCTTCTAAAGATCGCACTTAAAGGAAACACAGTGGACAGGACTAGAACCCAAGGTTTCACCCAAGTAAGGATCTTGTCACAGCAAAAATGCTTGTTACTCCTTGATGGTAAAGGCACACCAGTTCCTCAACATTGTACAATAGTGTTCTTATCAGGAAACCCGACCCGGGATTGATCCCACAATGTAGGAAGAACCATGGGTCCTGGGACTCTAGAATGTAGCCCAGGAGACTGGTTTTCTACAATGACCATATCTTCCTGAATGTAGGTCAAGAAGTCATAGCCAGCACCAGCACTGAAGACTGATTCATCAGGTCCAGAACCACCTGATTGTCAAGGCAGACAAATTGGTCTGCTCAGACACTTGATCCACATCAGCAGAGAGAAGGGCTGAGGCAGTCTAAGAAGAGAGTAGAAAAAAGGAGGTGCCTTGGAGAGGGAGACCCCTTCACACAGGACTCTCTTGCAACAATAGAGAGGCGGGTAATTCCCTGACCAAAGATAGGGACACAAGGGCAAATATACTGTAGACCTTTCTACAGAAGAACTATGCTGGTTTAAACTGTCTGCAGGCAATGAAAAGTTTCCAGCACCAATTCCTGCCAGAACAAGATCTAGCTCTTGGAGGCCAGAATAACCCTTTGGAAGGATCATTTACCACTGTTGTCTCCATAGGAGGTCATCTCCAAGTGTCCCACAATGGTAATGCCGTGAGAAGGCACTAGGGCAAACACTAGAGCCAGGAGACCACTCGGGATACAGCCACAAGACTGAAGAGTGAGAGCTTTGGTAGGTCAGTGATTAACAAGAGCTTGTCTTAACTGACTGCACAGGTCATAGGTTCCCTCTGGAGAACAATGACAGCACTAATGCTTGGTGGTTACTCCTGTGCTATTTTATGGAGGTGGTAAGACACTCAGCCATGTCTAATAGCTAAATGGAAGGTTTGATTAGATTTTAATTAAAGTTCATTTAGTAGTTAAACAACATGGAGATTCTAGAATGTCCATAGACTGGCCATAAATCTTCACTTCAACACTCAGTCAGTATTAGTTAAATAATTGGGAAAATGTACATCTTACATAAGACTGCAAAATTATATTAAGTCTGAAAGTAATGTATGTACTACTATATAAAATTGTTTCAGATTGTTTATAGAAGAATCTACATATTCACATTCATGAATGCTTCACTTATGCATTAAAAGAAAATTTGCCCTCTATTCCCTTGATGAGAAATTCCATCTTTGTCCCTGCACACCTATAGGAAAGTGGAGCCAAGCTGCCAGTCTTGGAGGCAATCTCTGCACACACAGGTTTAAGATAACTGGATAATGTCTCTGCAAAAGGAGTATTATGAAGCATACTTGCAAGCCTTGTGATCGACAGCTACTGCTGTTTACATCATATAAGGTTCCGTTCACACATCGCATTTGATTCTTTTTTGTGCCGCACGTATGATGCATGTATGTTTTTTTTTTGTGTTTTGCGCATTTTATGCCCAGGTGTGGATGGAGCCCAAGTGTGCATCTGTGGTGATGTAGGGGCAGGGTAAGAGGGCAACATCAAACTAATGGAGTGGCCAAATAAAGTAGGAAGATTCCCCTAATGACTTGAAAAAAAGTGAATTGTGTTTACAGATAGCAGAGCTTGGATCTCAGCAAGAAAAAAATAGTTTAAAGCTCCCCACACAACTTACAAAATCTGATTGTTCAATTTCCTTTAGCTTTACCAACAACTATGTAGTGCAAGGACATGCCCGATTGGATGAAGATTGATTGTATAGAGTAGATATGTATAAAACAGTGCCCATAATTAGGCTACATGCACACAGGGCTATTAAGGTGAGTCTTCCTGTGACAAGAAACGGTGGATGTGCCCTTCCAGATGCAGCCACTATGCTCATTCAAATGAATGGCAGGCTGACAGTGGCCTCCATCTGTCCATGGCTGTCCGCATGTAATTGATTATCTGCGGTTTGGGGCAGATGCTTGTCCCTGGATGCAGGAAGATTACTTCCAGGGACACACATTTATTCAAATCCGCAGGTATTCCTGCCGCAAGAATCCACAGGATACTGCAGGAGAAATCCCCAGCTGCACATACCGTGTTTCCCCGAAAGTAAGACCTACCCCGAAAATAAGACCTAGCACTATCTTCAGGGGTTTCTGTAATATAAGACCTACCCCGAAAATAAGACCTAGTTCGGTGGTAGATCTCATATTACAGAAATCCCTGAAGATAGTGCTAGCCGCAGCTCCCTCCCGCCAAGGAGGGAGTCTTATATTTTTTCGTAGGAAAAAAAAATATAAGACACTGTCTTATTTTCGGGGAAACTAATAGCCCTGTGTGAATGAAGCCTTACTTCTAAAAATCATATTTACTGCAAAATCACAGGAGCACTTTAATGACATATTCAATACAAAAACAAACAATGAGAGATACTTTACACTTACCTATTACCGATTCAACAGTATTACCAGTAGGGTAGAACGGAAGTGCTCTGGCGTTAACACTTGATGAGAGAGCAGTGGGGGATGAACTGTCTGAGCCAATACTGGATGCCAGGCTAGATGTGATACTGGACGTTATACTGGAAGCCAGTGGGTTCACCACCGAGAAAACACTGAGATGGCTCTGTTCAACAGACATGAAATTAGGTAAAACTATGTGCATGTAAAACACAATAAAACTACTACAGATTATAATTACTAACACCATCCAGCTACAATAATCTATGCCCACAGATATGCATTAGGGCTGCAAAGAATGATTTTTTTCATAAATCGATTAGTTGGCTGATTATTTATTCGATTATTCGGTAAAAAAATAAAATAAATAAATACCATCCTTAAATTTAAAATAAAATACACAAATGCAATGTTACAAACACAAAGTTTACTTAATAAAACTGCATGCATAATTTTCGCGCTGCACTGGAACAGCATTGCGGTACCTTGCGTTCCAGTGCAGGCTATCACACTGGGTGGGAGGCGCATTTGGGGTACCATTGAAATGAATGGCACTGCAATGCATCTCCTGCAGCAGAATTTGTCAGGCCGAAACCAAAAATGACTTTCTTCCCACCCTTTATTAAGTTTTTCAAATAAATGTATTGTAAGCCCATGGTGCTTGAATATTTTCAGCCAGGGAATGACAGCTGCCAGTGGCAAGATTCCATAGCAGGCTAGCTATTGCACCCGCCCACTGCTTGCTGTGCCCTTCTCCCAGCGTGGAAGAGAGAGCTAGGGAATCCAACCAACTAATTGATAATGAGAATAGTTGACAACTATTCTCATAATCTATTATTATCGATCAATTAGTTGGTTGCAACCCTAATTTGCATTTATGGATAGTACTGAAGTTTTCTGTTTGATGTTTATAAACGGATTATTCAGCTATTTCATTTTCATTTTCGTCAGGTCTACACATTGCACATCAACGTGCTTTGTGGTAAACATACCCCAAGTGTGTGGAGTCAGCCTTAGCCCAGTTTTTAACGCGCACGCTGGCACACAAAACAATGCATGTTTAATCAAAACACATGTAAACCAACTGACCCACTCACAAATATGCACTGCGTAGCAGTGCTTTGGTAAAAATCAGACCGGTCCATTTTTCAATACATTTGCATGCGTTTTGAGTCCAGGTCTATAGTGTAGTGTAGTATGTATATTGTGTTTGTTAATGCAGTGGCTACTTCACAACACACACAGGGACCGTGGGAAACAAAAGTAGCCACCCTCCAGAAGGAAGGACGGTATCCACATGATGTTAGAGATAATTTGAGGATCTACAGCCGAGTGATACACAAGTAAGATACATTTTTGTTAATAGTTAAGGTACTTGAATGCATTTTTAAGATTTAACAACTGAGTTTAGTGTCACTTTAATTTAAATCCCGTTTTGCCAGAAGGCTCTGTTTAAAACATCTACACTTATTTAATTTTTTTACTTTGTGTACATTACCCACGCATCTATATCTCAATATATACTGTTATTGGATGTAAATATAATTCTATCCTTTTCTTACCTATTTTTATTCTCACACAGTGCTTCCCCTCTGATGTTCCAGACTACCCCCTTATCTCTGCTGTTTTGAACCTAGTTTGGTCAATATGTTTGTATTTGTCACTGCATTCTTGAATAAAGACATATTTGACGGAGAAGCAAATTGAACCCACTCCCTCCATTTGTAAATTAATGTTTTTATTTAAAAAGTAAAATAAACATTGAGCCGTTTCCCTTTAACAATACCTGGGTTCCTGAAATATATTAAATTACCTGTTTGCTTTCTTGATCATTCATTTTATGATTACTGTCCAAAGACAGGCACTTGTGTTTTGCCTAGAAAACAAGAGACAATTTTGTGATAGCAGTTTTAAAATAAAAGTAATAACTGACAGAAAAGAGAAAACATAATTTGCTTTTGTTATATAATATAGGTAAAATTGTTTATTATTCCTTGGTGATATTAACACATTAATGGCTTTTCAACAAACTATGTATGCAGAAGACTTGTGACTTTCTAGTGACTACAAACATTATTTTAGTACAGGCTGTACATTATACATAAAGGGCTTGCACAAATTACTGACCGTAAATATTTTGACATATACAGCCAAGAAAAACTTTAAAAAGGAAAAGGTTAATGCAGAAATACAGTCACTGACACTGTCGACTTTTCCAAGTTGCTAGCTTCTTGGTTGTCCTGCTCATCCTCAAGCTTTACTACTTAAGCCAGGTACACATGCAACACATTTCAGCCGACTCAGCAGGAATCGGACAAAATTTGCTGCGTTGGCGGCTCTATTCCCTATAGAAGAAGTTGATCATTAGAACGGGTCAGCGTGGAAGGTGGAATCTGTTATATTTTCTTTGTTCAAGTTGAAGAAAATATAAGCGTGTATAGCTGAATTTAGTCACTGACCTAGAAACCAACATGCAGGCAGTAAAGTTAGGGCCCGTTCACACCAACAAGCTGCACTTTATGTGCGGCTGCTGGTCTGTGATGACATGCAATGACTGGCACAGTGCTCATGCACTGATCTCCGCACATCGCACTGTTTACGTGCAACAGTTCATAAATTTCACAGTGCTGCGCAAGGCAGTTGTACCACATCACACCCTGCTGTGCTGAAAAAAAGGACAACATGGCATCATTGTTTTCAGCGCGCCCCACCGCGATAGACGGTGGCGTAAACTGTGCCCACCAAAACAAGGAAAAATTATCTGTGCACTGCAGCTGTGTTGGCCGCTATTTTCAACGCTTCTGGTGTGAACAAGCCCTAAACGCTTAACCTCAATATGCGTTTTCAAGGGCAAAAAACATGTGCAGGCCAGTGTACAATCTCAGCATGTCGTGGGTGCAGAGATCAAACTAATTCACTGTGCACTGTATTACTTCATCCCTAGCTGGCCTTCCAAGATGTCTTATTCTAGATGCAGACCTGGAAAAAAGACTGGGATAAGATGTCAGTGATGGAGAAGGTGCAATAAGGGGAAGCACAAATGCCACATCACAAACAACTAAAAAAAACAAACCAAATTCAGAAATTACTGTGCCTGGTTGTCTATCACCAGTGTTTCACCTAAAAAGTAAGGCAAATGCAATCAGCAATCAGCAATAAAGATTTGAGTGCAAGTACACTACTAATACTTTTTTAAAAAGTGTGTGTAGTGTAGGAAATGGCTAGAACTTTAGAGTTAGTGGCACTCTGGGTTCTTGTTGGAGATATTTGCTCCTCACTTCCTGTCCTAGAGACACCCTAAGGGGAATTTATCACAACTGAAACAGAAAAAAATCTGAGGTAGTTGCCGATGGCAACCATACAGCATGTCTCTTCAGTTTGTTCAGTCAAGATTTGAAAATGAAAGAGTGAAGCTGATTGGTTGCCACGCACAGCTGCTCCAGATTTTGTCTGCTCCAGTTTTGATAAATTCCCCTCCCTGTGTTCTAACCCTTTCCCCCAAAAAGGTGGTTTTATTGCTAATCATTTTCATTGGAAAGATTTTCCTTCACTAGCTTTTCCAGTCATGCTTTTGCTTTGCAAGAACACTTTCAATACATAAGCACCAATCTTTTACAAAGTGAAAGGAAAACTACATTCCATCTAAATAAGTTTAGTAACTGGGTAGATTACAAACTGCATTTTTATTCATTGCTGTAGGTCTCTATGACGGAGTCGATGCAACAGGAAACAAAGTGAAATCTCCACACCTAAGACTACAATAAAAACCCAACCCTACAAAAAATATGGGATTTAATAGCACTAAATTATTATGAACTAATTGGATATAAAATAAAGTCAACCCTAACCTAAATGACAGCACATTTTTAACTCTGCACATCAACTCATATCTACTGTTGGGTGAAATAAATACAGCATAAGGACTGGAGCTACAAAACAGAAAAATATCAAATAAATCACTCAAAACAAACTAGCAACTTCAGAACAATCTATAATAAACATAGACTTAGTGTTTACAAAAATATGAGTATACGATACAAAGTTCAAGAAACTGATCAACAAAAGTATGGCAAAAAATATTTTTGCTTTTTTTTTTTTTTTTAAATGTGAAAAAAAAAACTGTTGTAAAATACCTTTTATAGAAAATTATGTCTATAATGTCAGGTTTTCATTTATTGTGGTTTAACAAAATAACATTTGCAGTCAATTGTTTTGGCCGAAATGTTATCATGACCTTGAAGTTGAAAATATAACATAAAATATGTTTTCTCTATTTTTTTCAGCAAGAAATAAGTTGAGAGTTTTTAAAAATGTATGCTCATCAGACAAAGTACTAGTTTAGAATTATGGTAATTAACTAGTACACAACAAATGCAATTGCAATATAAATAACAAGACAGATTACAAACAGAAAAGTGGGTCTGAAAAAACCCGTTACTGAACAGAGACGAATAAATGTTCTCATACAGTTTAATTTTACAAATTTTCTTTCACTAAGGGCATTTTGGAAAGCTCTATAAACACATTAAAAGGTGCCCATACACCTTACGACCATCGCAAGACTTTTGTCTTGCGATGGTCGTAAGCTTATTAAAAGATCTGCCCATCATAGACAGGCAGATCGTACTTGCGATCATTGAAAGCCCGCCCCGCTGAGGGGCGGGCTTCCGATGACCGCAGTGAGGGGCGGGCTTCCGATGACCGCAGAGAGTGACAGCAGTGAGGGGCGGGCTTCCGATGACCGCAGTGAGGGGCGGGCTTCCGATCACTGCAAATGGGCAGTGTGCGCGTGCGCACACCGGCCCGTTCGGCAGTTGTCGAAAAAGCAGGCCACTAACCCGCAGAGAATCGTACGATTCTCGGCAGGTTTTCAAGCCTGCTTGTTTGACGGAAGACGTGCGACCATACAGTAGAAACGGTCGCACGCCTTCCATACACTCTACGATTATCGTACGATCGTGGGATTTCCCGCGATTCTTTTACGAGAATCGTACAGTGTATGGGCACCTTTAGAAAGATTTAGAAAAAAGTAAAATAAACAATTGCACTAGAAATGTTAGATGCTTATCTACGCCAAACATACAAGAATGTCTTCTTTTTTTAATCCCCTGAGGTGCTCCTATTAAAGAGTAATTGCAATGTAATCCAAGTGCCCAAAAAAAAAAACCTGCTTGGAAATTCCCCCTGAAGCAGAATTCCGGGCACACATTTTATTAACCCTTGCACTGCAAGGGTTAAGTGCTCATTTTCATCTAAGGTCTAAAATAAAAACGTACCCGAACCTTGGACCTGCGTTGCAGCTAGACCGGTCGGGCAGCTTCTTTTCCCCCCTGCACGCCGGAAGTCTAATGACCTGTGAGTCATCGTGTCTAATACAGTGTATTATGTTATGTTAGACCCTAGATAAAAAAAGGAGCACTTAACCCCTGCAGTGCGGGGGGGGAGGGGGGACGAGGTAGCCCCACTGCAAGGGTTAAATATTTTTCTGCCAGGAATTCTTCTTTAAATTAAATCGTGGTTTTACTTTGAAATTCCATTAATCATGTACCACCTTATATGCTCAAAAACTTTGAGGAGGACTTAGTGTACCAATATTACTAAATATTACTATCAGACAGAGCAAGTAGTGCAACTCTCCCTCCTACCTGCGATCTATAATGTTCCTTGATGGGTTTCCTTAGGATTCTGATCTCAGCCTTGCTATGGCTACCATGTTTTAAGGGCTCTACCTTCTTGACTCATTTGATGTTACATAGCATAAAGGTCAACCAAGGTTCACAAATTTTAAGAAATTTCTTATGAGTGTCTCCAGGGATAGTGGTCAATTTTTCATTTAGTTTGTTGTGAGGACTCCTTGAGCAAAACTAGTCTTAGCTGTTCTTAATTCAGTGGTCCATTGGAGATGACAGCCACGTGGGAGCACAGTCTGATCCCTCTATCCATTTTGTCCATCCCTTTCGTATCTCCCTTTGTGATGTGCTTTGCTTCCCCTATCTGTTTAGTTCTGATGATTCCTTCCATTAGGGAGAGACGTGCATTATATGGGTAGATACTTTATTTAATATTTGAGCCTTGAACCTTGACTAAACTGTGAGCCTATTATAAATGTTCTTCACTTGTATTAGTTGTTATGTGATGGTATCTACCACATCTGTTGCTCCTGAGGGGGCTATTCTTACTGTTATGTTTACTTTTCGTAAACTCAAATAAAAATAATGTAAAAGAAATGACAAATTTAATAGTAAAATAATATTACTTAGACAGAGTACTATAATAATCCAAAAAAAAAAAATCACATAAAATGTCTGGCTGGAAAAAAAAGGTTTCGCTATCAAGAGGTTACGTAGTTCATCAGGAGAAGGAAAAGAAGAAAGCTGCAAAATAAACAAATAAATAAAATGCAAAAAAAGTCCCAATGCCCATTTTGACACGTACCTGGTCTTCTCGCTCAAAACCTGGTGCTCTTGGATAGTTAAAGCCTGGTGAAGAGACACCTGGGGTGGTTGATTCACAACATAAACCATTTGCTAAAGATTTTGTCCTGCCTACGGATCCAACAGACGAGAAGGAGCTACTGCTCCTTGAGCTGGAGGTAACTGTTGGACTACTACAGCATGAAATCTGTAGAAGAAGAATATGAATACAGAATACAAGTAATGTGCATGCCTGGTGTTTTGTTTAAATGTATAAGAAAAGAAACAAACATTCTCGAAATGTTTCTTAAAGCGGAACTCCAGGCATTACTTAAAGTGCAAATAAAGGCTCCTCTATGAAATTCTAAATAAGTACCATATCCAGTTACTATGTGATGGACAAGCCTCAAAAAGTAAATAAAAACTTCCTTTACCTCCCATGACTGTGCTGTCAATCCAGAAAGCAGTGGCGGGACTAGGTGTAGTCAGGTGCTACAGGCTTGTGAATCAGCAGTGACAATGCTAATAGACACCCTCCCTGCAAAACCATCTCATCCCAGTGTAGTGCAAGCAGGCACAACCTATAAAAGAGTGGCAGCTCTGCTCTGAACTCAGCAGCAGTGCAGCATCATTGACACCATCATCATCACAGGAAGCTGCATTAGGTAAACTTCATTGGAAGGCCCAACAAGTATTTGTGGGACTTCGCAGGGGGACTAAGAAAAAAATATATAAACGCAGGTGCACTTCTAATTAAGTGCTGCAGCATTTTATAATAAGAGTCCTACTTTGAAATTCCAATCTTGATGAAGAATGTCCTGAAAACTATTAGTTAAAAACCCGTTGTATCCCCGTTTCCTCTTAAATTCCTGCCACCAGTGATGACAAAAAATATGGATGACAAAAAGTCAGTACTATTGTCTATCTACAATGTAGTGCTCCACTTCGAAGCTGTGCTCCTGTGCTAGATGCAAGGACATGGTGGTCCATCTGTTCTCTCATCTGTGTCTTTTTTTTAAGCATCCCCCTTGCGGCTAAGAAGCAGAAGGGGTGCCTTGGGTTCTAAAGTGATGACATGACACTGGGTAAAAGGCTGCTAAGCCTTTTGAACTGAAAAAGGGACTATAAGTGGCATCTAGTGAAGAATTCAGAGGAATAGAATAAAAGGGAATTAGCAATATGTCAAAGTTTTGTTTCTAAGGTGGATATGATTTTCAATACTAATGCTAAATTTTCATATACATAGCAGTTTTTCTTTTCATTCACAAACCAGGGGTTCCGCTTTAAATTAGTCTGCTGAATCGCAGAGAACTCGATATATTAGTCTACCAGAAATAATAAGTCAACTTGATGTGTAAATAATATACATATAGTAAAAATTAACATAATTTT